CCCCCGGACTTCCCAAACCTAATCCCAGGATAATATTCATATATGAGTAAACAAATACTAATATCCCTAACTCCACAAAATATCTTAATCTACAAAAATATCTTAATCTACAAAAAAGATAGAAAGAATAAACAAAAATAAAAAAAATCTAAAAACCTAAGTTATATTCTACCACTTTATGCTTCTTTTGAATATAAACAATCCATCTTCTCCATATTGATAAAAATTGTTCATTTGAATGATTCTTCAGGTAAGCCGAAATCTTTGCCATTTCAGCAAGATACGAAACTTTCAATCTCCAGTCTTCCATTGTAGGCAGAATTGGGCTCTTCCAATTTTGGGCTATCAACACACGGGCAGCAGTTAAACAATAAAGCATCAAATTAGTTTCTTTTGCATCTAAATCTTGCACAATACCTAAAAGGAACAACTGTGGAAGAAAAATAATCCTTTTTTTAAAAATTTGCTGTAAGTTCCACCACAATTGTATCTAAAAGGCCTTAATAACCTTACACGTCCACCACATATGAAAAAAAGTTGCATCTGGATGTCCACACCTCCAACACTTGGATTCATAATTCACATAGATACGAGACATAGTTGAAGGGTCCAAGTGCCATCTATAAAACATTTTATAAAAATTCTCCTGTAAATTTTGAGCTTGTGTAAACTTCACATTTCTCACCCAGATTAACTCCCAAGTATCCATAGGTATTGTTTCTCCTATATTTTGAGCCCATTTAATCATACAATCTTTGACTAATTCAGTTTCCGAGTCCAATTCTAACAAAACATTATATATCCTTTTGATATGTTCTTTAGCTCCATCTCTTACTTGCTTCAAAAAATTCCCGTCTTCCATACCAAAAATAGTCTTTTTATCAATTCGCCATCTATCTTGAATTTGTCAATACAGAAACCAAGAAAAGTTTGGATTATTTTGCTTCAAAACTTCTATTGATTTTAAGCACCAGTTACCACCACCACTCTGGTATAACACCTTAATAATAAGGACCTACTTTCCCTTTAAGCTGCACATACAGTACAGTATGTGTAATCAGTTTCACGCCATGTACATGAACTTACACATTTTACATCTTTGTAGAAAAGACTACATACTGTTGGGAATAGCATATGAATTGAACTGAACGGAACTGAATTGAACTTTATTTAGCCAAGAAGTGTGATCTTACACACAAAGAATTTGTCTTTAATACAGAAGCATTCAGTGCACATGCAAAGCAACAGAATCATCATCATCAACATCATCATCATCATCATCCATACCAATAAAAAGGGGGAAGTAAGAAGGATAATAATAAGGATAAATAATAATGCTACAGTCATATTACTTGGGTAAATACACATAGACATTAGACAGCACTGTGGGGAATAGGGGTTCAGCAGAGTGATGGCCTGAGAGAAAAAAACTGTCCCTGTGTCTACTTGTTTTGGCCTGCAATGCCTGTAATGCCATCGCAAGGGGAGGAATTGAAACAGATTATGTCCAGGATGTGAAGGATCTGCAGATTACTTCTCAGCTCTCCTTCTGACCCGTGCATTATACAGCCCGTCTGTAGAAGTCAGGCTGTTTGCAATTATTTTTTCTGCAGTCTTAACTTTATGGCTCTTTCTAATAAAAGATATAGTCAAACATATAGTATATATAGTATGCTTAAATGTGTGTTATGTAATAATAATAATAATAATAATAATAATAATAATAATAATAATAATAATAATAATAATAATAATAATAATAATAATAATAATAATAAAAAGTTGGAAGTGACCTTGGAGATCTTCTAGTCCAACCCCCTGCTCAGGCAGGAAACCCTATACCATTTCGGACAAATGGCTGTCCAGTCTCTTCTTAAAAACTTCCAGTGTTGGAGCATTCACCGCTTCTGGAGGCAGGTTGTTCCACTGGTTAATTGTTCTCACTGTCAGAAAGTTTCTCCTTAGTTCTAGATTGCTTCTCTCCTTGATTAGTTTCCACCCGT